TGCAGGCATTAAAAGAACATCCCAGCAGTTGAAAATGAAATATAAAAACATAATTCAATCAGGTAAGGCTTGAGCATATAATGGATGTAGGGTACTTGACTTTACAAACATTTGACATATTAAATAACTAAATAGCATCCAGTGTTTAGCAGTGCGAAAGCATTTTTGACATAGGTCTAATTAACAAAATTAAATGTTCATTCTCATTTGACTTCTACTCAGCCAACAGAAAGAAGGAAGAGGCTCACAAAGATGGAGATGAAGATGCAGAGGAGATGGAGATGAAGATGCAGAGGAGATGAAGATGGAGATGCAGAGGAGATGGAGATGGAGATGAAGATGCAGAGGAGATGAAGATGAAGATGCAGAGGAGATGGAGATGAAGATGCAGAGGAGATGAAGATGGAGATGCAGAGGAGATGAAGATGGAGATGAAGATGCAGAGGAGATGAAGATGGAGATGCAGAGGAGATGAAGATGGAGATGCAGAGGAGATGAAGATGGAGATGCAGAGGAGATGAAGATGGAGATGCAGAGGAGATGGAGATGAAGATGCAGAGGAGATGGAGATGAAGATGCAGAGGAGATGAAGATGGAGATGCAGAGGAGATGAAGATGGAGATGCAGAGGAGATGAAGATGGAGATGCAGAGGAGATGAAGATGGAGATGCAGAGAAGATGGAGATGAAGATGCAGAGGAGATGAAGATGGAGATGCAGAGAAGATGAAGATGCAGAGGAGATAAAGATGGAGATGCAGAGGAGATGGAGATGGAGATGCAGAGAAGATGGAGATGAAGATGCAGAGGAGATGAAGATGGAGATGCAGAGAAGATGAAGATGGAGATGCAGAGAAGATGGAGATGAAGATGCAGAGGAGATGAAGATGGAGATGCAGAGGAGATGAAGATGGAGATGCAGAGAAGATGGAGATGAAGATGCAGAGGAGATGAAGATGGAGATGCAGAGGAGATGGAGATGGCCTTGAGCCTGAATGCTGGAAGGCCAATGGCTGAGGGAATTCCTGGAGGGACTTCATCAGAGCCAGTCACTCCCGAAGATTCAAGTGCCTTCATAAAATGTATAAGAGGTCTACATATGTGTTATTTTTTATATAGGCTGTTTTTGATATTTCCATATATTTTACTTTGGGTTGGGTTTTTTGTTGCTCCCAACCGATTCTGATGGTAATATCTGTCTCATGTCCCAACAGAACCCCAGACAGTTGTAAGTAGCCTACTCAATACACCAGAAATTATGACAAATAGTATTATAAAATGTGCTCAATCAAATGCTCATCTTCACAGGACGATGGGGATGAAGAAACAGTTTCTGCTGCCACAGAGAGGCCTACTAGGAAATGTTAATATTGTCTACACATCAAACAATCTACACATTCAAATTTCTTCACATTATTTATGTAGAGTAGCCTATACAATCTAAGTTTATTTCTAAGTATAAACGGATATTCTTATCTCTCCCCCTGTCCCCAGAGTGTGGAATAACAGCAGGAGGAAGGTCCATCAACTTGCACAGATAAACACAGTTCAGTGATTTTCAGTGAATGCCACAGTTTAATTCTGTAGAATGTGTTTAGAACTACATGATGTAACTCTAATCTACTGTATTTTCAGTTGCCAGTTAAGAAGTTATATTGACTTCATCTTATTAAAAAAATTGGAGAAAAAACTAAAACAGCAATGAATAAATGTACCGAAAGAATGAATGAGGTGTTTAAACACCGCTTCCTCTTTAAAAAAGGGGAGGAGACCGAAATAAACTCTGGGTTTACGGAAGTAAACCTGCTCCCGACCAGGTTAGGTTCACAGAGTAAGTTACCATGGTAACTGACTCTGAGTATAAGTTACCTCTCTTTCAGAAACGGGCTTGACTTACCCTGCTTTCTCAGGTTTGACTTACCTCCCATTCTGAAACAGAAAACCCAGAGTTTCCCTCATTTCAGGGTTAACATACTCAGAGTTTTCACTTAACCTCCTTTCTGAAACAGGCCCCTGGTCTTTTTGTAATAAAATAAAGTTGTCCATTCAGCTGAATACAAAAAAGAAAAGGAAAAAACCTGATGAGGGTCTCATCTGAACACAGCTTTCACCACAGGAAAGCTAACAGGAATAGTCCTGCCAGATTTTTATGTTGACGTGTATTTATTCATGACAAATCTGAAATAAAATTACCAGTGTGCTCTAGTTTTCAAACAGTTTCAATAAAGACGAAAAAATATTTGTATTTTCGCATTTGAGAATTGCAGATAATAATGAGTTTTGCAACTCCTAAAGATACTCCAAACAAATCTGTTGATTGGTTAACAACATAAAGCCATAAGTACAAATTTGCAAGAAAAAACATTTATAACATCTGTTATCATTGAACGAAATAGATTTTAATATAAAAATATATATGGCTGCTTGACCAAATCAATGCTAAGATTTTGAACACTGAGCATTCTACTGCTTCCTTAAATGCTAAAATGTATTCTCACTGAATAAAAACATAAAGTATTTTAATTAATCCCCAAAAAGTATTTTGTGTGCTGTCTTTTTGTCCAGTAATCATAATATTAAAAAAAGCAACTATCTTTAATGAAATGGCAGCTGTCATGATAGTTGTAACACCTGAACCTAATAATTGAGTGTTACATGTTCCCATGACAACTGATTGTCAAGAAACAATTGGTAAATGGCAGTTGCTGGCACTATAAAAAGTCCCGTCAGGCAACACTAATATGTGTTGGAGGTCAAGTATGTTTTGTTTGACTTTTTACTGGTGTTGTTGAGGTGGTTAGTTGTTGTATTTTTGTTTGGCCATGGAGGGTACCACTAGCCGACTCTTAAGGTATGATGATAAATTGTAGTATTTGGCATTTGTTAACAAGTGGCATTCATCTAACAAGGTTTTTTTTTCTACAGTTTTTCTTTGGCACTTCTCAGTCTTTGTGTCTGTGACCATTTTGGAAGTGGTAAGGTTTATCCAGGCAAGTTCTAAAATTCATGTTTGCTAGCACGTCTGTTTGATTCTTACTTTCCCTTTTTTATTTTCTTCTAGTTGGTGGCTTTGTCAGGAGTGGTTATCCTCTGTACTATGAGGCTGGTTTCCCCATGCAGGATGTGAAGCCACGAAGTTCCTACAGCTGGAATGGTGCTGATGTATCAAATCCCACCAGTCCTCAAAGGTCAAGGAGTAACACTTACAGTGCTGCACAAGTTAAGGGTGTGTATAGCAGTGTAAGCTATAGTCCTCAAAATGGCTCTTTTGGTTCTGACTCTGATGCTAGTAGTCAACTCCAAGGATCTCTGATATCTTCAGCTGGTAGTGGCAGTCTCGTTTCTGGTTCTGTGACCACTGCAATGGGTACAAGTATGCACATTGAGTCTCTACCTGAGCCAACACCGCTCAACTATCAAACTGTAGTACAGTCTAGTAATGAGTCTGTGGTGTCTAGTAGCCAGCAAATAGTGCAGAACAGCTCCCAGTCCAGTGGCCAACTAGTGGAAGGCAGCTACCAGTCTGCAGTGCAGCCCATTGTCAAGCCTCAGAGAAGTAGACTTCAAGTTGTTTCCAAGTTATTTTCTGGTAACAGGCCAGTCCAGATGTCAAGTTCTACCTTTTTGGTCAAGCCTTTGCAGCAGAGAAATGAGTCCTCACAACCCAGGTATCAGTTAGGGCAAGCCAGCTTTGGATATGGACTTGTGCCATCACTGAGTGGCCAGCAACTAGTGCAGTCACGTGATGGTTCAACAGTTCAGCCTAGTGGTGTGCAGCTAGCACAGGCAAGATACCAACTTGTGGCCCGGCCCAGCCTCCAACAGTCATCTCAAGCCAGCAGCCAGAACTCTGAACAAGCTGTATCGCAATCTGTGGACCAGTCCAGTGGCCTACAATCAGCCCAAGCCAGCTCTCAGTCTGTGGACCAGTCTGGCATCCAACAACCAGCCCAAGCCAGCTCACAATCTGTTGAACTGTCAGGTAGTCTGCTGTCAGCCCAAGCCAGCTCACAGTCTGTGGACCAGTCTGGCATCCAACAACCAGCCCAAGCCAGCTCACAATCTGTTGAACTGTCAGGTAGTCTGCTGTCAGCCCAAGCCAGCTCACAGTCTGTGGACCAGTCTGGCATCCAACAACCAGCCCAAGCCAGCTCACAATCTGTTGAACTGTCAGGTAGTCTGCTGTCAGCCCAAGCCAGCTCACAGTCTGTGGACCAGTCTGGCATCCAACAACCAGCCCAAGCTAGCTCACAGTTTGTGGACCAGTCTGGCATCCAACAACCAGCCCAAGCCAGCTCTCAGTCTGTGGAACCATCAGGTAGCCTGCTGTCAGCCCAAGCCAGCTCACAGTCTGTGGACCAGTCTGGCATCCAACAACCAGCCCAAGCCAACTCACAATCTGTTGAACTGTCAGGTAGTCTGCTGTCAGCCCAAGCCAGCTCACAGTCTGTGGACCAGTCTGGCATCCAACAACCAGCCCAAGCTAGCTCACAGTTTGTGGACCAGTCTGGCATCCAACGACCAGCCCAATCCAGCTCACAGTCTGGCTTACCATCAGCACAAGCCAGCTACCAGTTTGTGCCCCAGCTTGGTTTCCAAAAACCTACACAAACTGGCTCCCAATCAGTGAATGGCCCCAGTGGTCTGCAGACAGTACAAGCCCGCTACCAGTCTGTGTCCCGGCCCAGCGGTCTGCAGTCAGGACAAGCCCGCTACCAGTCTGTGTCCCGGCCAAGCGGTCCGCAGTCAGCGCAGGCCTGTTACCAGTCTATGGACCAGCTAAGCAGTCTGCAATCAGGCCAACCCAGCTACCAGTCTCTGTCCCAGCTCAGTGGCTTGCAGTCAGCCCAAGCCAGGTACCAGTCTGTGTCTCAGCCCAGCGGTCTCCAGTCAGGACAAGCCCGCTACCAGTCTCTGTCCTGGCCCAGCGGTCTGCAGTCAGGACAAGCCCGCTACCAGTCTTTGTCCCGGCCCAGCGGTCTGCAGTCAGCCCAATCCAGGTATCAGTCTGTGTCCCAGCCCAGCGGTCTGCAGTCAGCCCAAGCCCGCTACCAGTCTGTGTCCCAGCCCAGCGGTCTGCAATCAGGCCAAGCCAGATACCTGTCTCTATCCTTGCCCAGCGGTCTTCAGTCAGCACAAGCCCGTTACCAGTCTGTGGACCAGCCCAGTGACCTACAATCAGCCCAAGCCAGCTCACAATCTGTTGAACTGTCAGGTAGCCTGCTGTTAGCCCAAGCCAGCTCACAGTCTGTGGACCAGTCTGGCATCCAACAACCAGCCCAAGCTAGCTCACAGTTTGTGGACCAGTCTGGCATCCAACAACCAGCCCAAGTTAGCTCACAGTTTGTGGACCAGTCTGGCATCCAACAACCAGCCCAAGACAGCTCACAGTTTGTGGACCAGTCTGGCATCCAACAACCAGCCCAAGTTAGCTCACAGTTTGTGGACCAGTCTGGCATCCAACAACCAGCCCAAGTTAGCTCACAGTTTGTGGACCAGTCTGGCATCCAAGAACCAGCCCAAGCCAGCTCACAGTTTGTGGACCAGTCTGGCATCCAACAACCAGCCCAAGCCAGCTCACAATCTGTTGAACTGTCAGGTAGTCTGCTGTCAGCCCAAGCTAGCTCTCAGTCTGTGGAACCATCAGGTAGCCTGCTGTCAGCCCAAGCCAGCTCACAGTCTGTGGACCAGTCTGGCATCCAACGACCAGCCCAATCCAGCTCACAGTCTGGCCTGCCATCAGCACAAGCCAGCTACCAGTTTGTGCCCCAGCTTGGTTTCCAAAAACCTACACAAACTGGCTCCCAATCAGTGAATGGCCCCAGTGGTCTGCAGACAGTACAAGCCCGCTACCAGTCTTTGTCCCGGCCCAGCGGTCTGCAGACAGTACAGGCCCGCTACCAGTCTGTGTCCCGGCCCAGCGGTCTGCAGTCAGGACAAGCCCGCTACCAGTCTGTGTCCCGGCCAAGCGGTCCGCAGTCAGCGCAGGCCCGTTACCAGTCTACGGACCAGCTAAGCAGTCTGCAATCAGGCCAACCCAGCTACCAGTCTCTGTCCCAGCTCAGTGGCTTGCAGTCAGCCCAAGCCAGGTACCAGTCTGTGTCTCAGCCCAGCGGTCTGCAGTCAGGACAAGCCCGCTACCAGTCTCTGTCCTGGCCCAGCGGTCTGCAGTCAGGACAAGCCCGCTACCAGTCTTTGTCCCGGCCCAGCGGTCTGCAGTCAGCCCAATCCAGGTACCAGTCTTTGTCCCGGCCCAGCGGTCTGCAGTCAGCACAATCCAGGTACCAGTCTGTGTCCCAGCCCAGCGGTCTGCAGTCAGCCCAAGCCAGGTACCAGTCTGTGTCCCAGCCCAGCGGTCTGCAGTCAGCCCAATCCAGGTACCAGTCTGTGTCCCAGCCCAGTACCCTGCAGTCAGCACAAGCCTGTTACCCGTCTGTGGACCAGCCCAGTGACCTGCAGTCAGCCCAAGCCAGGTACCAGTCTGTGTCTCAGCCTAGCGGTCTGCAGTCAGGACAAGCCCGCTACCAGTCTCTGTCCTGGCCCAGCGGTCTTCAGTCAGGACAAGCCCGTTACCAGTCTGTGGACCAGCCCAGTGACCTACAATCAGCCCAAGCCAGCTTTCAGTCTGTGGACCAGTCTGGCATCCAACAACCATCCCAAGCCAGCTCACAATCTGTGGACCAGTCTGGCATCCAACAACCATCCCAAGCCAGCTCACAGTTTTTGGACCAGTCTGGCATCCAACAACCAGCCCAAGTTGGCTCACAGTTTGTGGACCAGTCTGGCATCCAACAACCAGCCCAAGACAGCTCACAGTTTGTGGACCCGTCTGGCATCCAACAACCATCCCAAGTTAGCTCACAGTTTGTGGACCAGTCTGGCATCCAACAACCAGCCCAAGTTAGCTCACAGTTTGTGGACCAGTCTGGCATCCAACAACCAGCCCAAGCCAGCTCACAGTTTGTGGACCAGTCTGGCATCCAACAACCAGCCCAAGCCAGCTCACAATCTGTGGACCAGTCTGGCATCCAACAACTAGCCCAAGCCAGCTCACAGTTAGTGGACCAGTCTGGCATCCAACAACCAGCCCAAGCTAGCTCACAGTTTGTGGACCAGTCTGGCATCCAACAACCAGCCCAAGCTAGTTCACAGTATGTGGACCAGTCGGGCATCCAACAACCAGCCCAATCCAGCTCACAGTCTGGCCTGCCACCAGCACAAGCCAGCTACCAGTTTGTGCCCCAGTTTGGTTTCCAAAAACCTACACAAACTGACTCCCAATCAGTGAATGGCTCCAGTGGTCTGCAGACAGTACAAGCCCGCTACCAGTCTGTGTCCCGGCCCAGCGGTCTGCAGACAGTACAGGCCCGCTACCAGTCTGTGTCCAGGCCCAGCGGTCTGCAGTCAGGACAAGCCCGTTACCCGTCTATGGACCAGCTAAGTGGTCTGCAATCAGGCCAAGCCCGCTACCAGTTTGTGCCCCAGCTTGGATTCCAAAAACCTACACAAACTGGCTCCCAATCAGTCAATGGCCCCAGTGGTCTGCAGTTAGCACAAGCCCGTTACCAGTCTGTGTCCCAGCCCAGTGGTCTGCAATCAGCCCAAACCAGCTACCAGTCTGTGTCCCGGCAGTCTAGATTCCAGGTCTTTCCTAAGCCAGAGCAGTCAAGTTACATGTCTCTTTCCAGTCTTGGTTCCAAACCTTTGGAGCAACCCAGTAAAATACCACTTCAAGCTATGAGTCTGATGCAGTCTGTCCAGCCTGGCTTTCAAGATCCAGCACCTCTGCACTCTCGGACTACTCAAAATAAGCATTTATCTGCAGGCATATTGAGGTTGCTGCATCAAGTGAAGTCATAGCTGTATACTCTGCCTTGTTTTCTTCATTTAATGTTTGCTTTTGTTTTTGAAAAAATAACCAAACTTGTAACCTCAAGTGTCTACTGGGAGTCTTAGTGTTGTTTGTACTTCATTAGCATGACTTCATCTTTGTTTAACATAATCTGCTTTGTTCTCTCCTACTTTTACACCTGGAGATGAGTTTTGGTTAATTAGGTCAAAAGTGTATGCTAAAAACAGGTGTAAAGGTGTTTAAAATGTTTTGAGCTCATTCACTTTCAACAACTTCCAGAAGTAGTTGGAAACGCTCATGTGGTTGACTGTTCAAATGGCCATGAATGACCAACTGACCCAATGCATTAACATTATGGGATTGGATATGATGTCTCATAAAATGTGTTTCCCACATTCTTTGCATCTAGCTGATTTGACGTTAATAAACCCAAATGAAAGAACATATGGCATGGTTGCTCCTGTCATGTTTCATGGGACTTTCATTATGACATTTCTGTGTTTACGAGCAATATATGGACCTACGTAATCAAAGGGTCCGAACTACCGTGACATGTAGGGAAATGTCACACAGAAATTATAAAACCATTCAAATAAAGCACAAATTCTTTAAGACTTGAGTCGAAATATTCACGAGTCCTATTTGTCAAGTCCAAATGAAGTCTGAAGTCTATTAAAGTGCGACTTGAGTCCAAGTCTCTAACTCGAGTACCCATCTCTTGTGTGTGTGTTCAGTACCGGTGTCTCTGAAGGCCTGCTGTGCGTGTATGTAACTCTCCCACGCCTCCTCCAGCTCGTCCAGCTCCACCAGAGCGAACCCCAGATTGCTGAAACACCGACCCTGAGCCCCGCGGCTTCCCAGAGAACCTGCGGACACGATGTGTTCAGATGCACGATATTACAGGTGCACCAGAAATAATCACTAGACATTCATGCACTTCCATCCACCCTGCTGACAAAAATATGTTCTGAGAACTTTTTTCTAATGTTACCATTAAGTTATGAAAACGCCATTTCTGAAGGCTTTCTTAATGTTCTTAAATGTTTTTAAAATGTTTTTCTTGGTTATGTGAAAGTTCCATTTCATCATTCCTCAAACATAATGGGAATGTTACTTTTGAATGTTACTTTTTGAATGTTACTTTTTGAATGTTACTTTTTGAATGTTTCTTTTGAATGTTCCTTTTGAATGTTATCTTTGAATGTTACTTTTTGAATGTTACTTTTGAATGTTACTTTTTGAATGTTACTTTTTGAATGTTTCTTTTGAATGTTACTGTTTGAATGTTACCTTTTGAAAGTTACCTTTGAATGTTACTTTTTGAATGTTACTTTTGAATGTTACTTTTTGAATGTTACTTTTGAATGTTACTTTTGAATTTGACTTTGGAATGCTACTTTTGAATGTTACTTTTTAAATGTTACTTTTGAATGTTACTTTTTAAATGTTACTTTTGAATGTTACTTTTAAAGGTTACTTTTTAAATGTTACTTTTGAATGTAACTTTTTAAATGTTACTTTTTAAATGTTACTTTTGAATGTTACTTTTTAAATGTTACTTTTGACTGTTACTTTTTAAATGTTACTTTTAAATGTTACTTTTGAATGTTACTTTTTAAATGTTACTTTTGAATGTTACTTTTTAAATGTTACTTTTGAATGTTACTTTTAAATGTTACTTTTTAAATGTTACTTTTGAATGTTACTTTTTAAATGTTACTTTTGAATGTTACTTTTAAATGTTACTTTTTAAATGTTACTTTTGAATGTTACTTTTTAAATGTTACTTTTTGAATGTCACTTTTGAATGTTACTTTTTGAATGTTACTTTTGAATGTTACTTTTTAAATGTTACTTTTTGAATGTCACTTTTGAATGTTACTTTTTGAATGTTACTTTTTGAATGTTTCACGAGTTCACACTTACAAATGATCAGAGAATAGATGGTTATGCGTATTTGGCGTGCTGTCCGGGGGGAGGGCTCCGAGCTCGGAAATTGGGCCCGAACCCAGAGTACTCCCCCCGTATCTCTGTTTAGGAAGATAACTAGGCAAGTGTGAGGAGATGGGGTGGTGGAGGGATGCTGAAAACTGTCGAGGAATATGGGTGAGTCGACTGAGTATATTTATAGGCTTTACTCGTGCTGATTGAGTGGACCTGTTGATTACTGATTGCTGACAGCTGGCTGGAATGACTTGATTGTTTGATCATTAGAACGTGTTCCTCCCGAACCTTGTTAATAAAACATCAATTCACGAGTTCACACTTACAAATGATCAGAGAATAGATGGTTATGCGTATTTGGCGTGCTGTCCGGGGGGAGGGCTCCGAGCTCGGAAATTGGGCCCGAACCCAGAGTACTCCCCATAAAGCAAAGTGAATAAAGGACAGCCGCCTGCTTAAAGACCCCCCGAAAAGAGCGCAGAGATTGGCGGGCTGGCATTTCAAGGAGAGCCTGGTTGTTTGGCTGGGAGAGCTCTCGCAGCGTCCGACGGGAGTTCAATGCTTACGGTGTCGGACGGGTAAGTATGGATGTTCAAACGGGAGGGTTCTTGTGGCAATGGTCACGGCATCGTAAAGGGTAAGCCTCACCAGTCAGGAAAGAGAAAAACATAGATGCTTGACTGGGAGGGTTTGGCTACGTCCTCTGGGAGATCAATACTCGCTAGACGGAGGAGGAGGAGATGAAGATGCTTGACCTGGGGAACTCTCGCTGTGTCCGCTGGGAGATCAATACTCGCTGGACGGAGAAAGAGAAGATATAAATACTCGACCGGGAAGGCTGTCTCTGGGTCCGCTGGGAGATCAATACTCGCTGGACGGAAAAAGAGAAGAAATAAATACTCGACCGGGAAGGCTGTCTCTGGGTCCGCTGGGAGATCAATACTCGCTGGAAGGAGAAAAGAGAAGACATGGATGCTCGACCGGGAAGGCTCTCGCTGTGTCCGCTGGGAGATCAATACTCGCTGGACGGAGAAAGAGAAGACATGGATGCTCGATCGGGAAGGCTCTCGCTGTGTCCGCTGGGAGATCAATACTCGCTGGACGGAGAAAGAGAAGACATGGATGCTCGACCGGGAAGGCTCTCGCTGTGTCCGCTGGGAGATCAATACTCGCTGGACGGAGAAAAGAGAAGACATGGATGCTTGACCTGGAAGGCTCTCGCTGTGTCCGCTGGGAGATCAATACTCGCTGGATGGAGAAAGAGAAGACATGGATACTCGGAAATTATTATTATTATTATTATTATTATTATTTTTTTTTTTTTTTTTTTTTTTTTACCGATGAGGATTTGGTGGGCTTTTTTGATATGGAAACGATTAGTTCTGATGTAGGTTTGGAACGCGTCTGAGGACCATCTTCCAAGCGCTTGGATCTGCTGTTGGGAGAGGCCTTTTTGGGCTGCTGAGGTTGCTGCCCCGATGCGGAAGGAATGGCTGGAGAAATTCTCTGCTGGGATGCCTGATAGTTGGAGAACAGATTTTAGGTGTTTTTGGAACCAAAAGCGTGTCACGGGTTTGTTAGAGTCGTCTATGAACAGGGGTTCGAGATGGGATTTAGCATGAGAGTTTCTCAGTTGGAGGTATGCTAGTATAGTTTGGAAAGGTTGAATTGGTGACGAGAGGTTGAAAATATATATGAAGTGGCCTTTTTTTGTTTGGTCTGTTTTGCTTTGTTTGATCAGAAAAGAGATAGTTTCGCTGTCAAGCACTGAAAGATCTGAGATGTTTGGGTGGATTTTTGGGTCGAATCTGGAAGTGATAGCCAGTTCAGAGCATCTTAGGAAACCAAAAAAAGCTAGAATAAACATGGCGTTGAGTGTGCGAGAGGTATTAAGGGATCGGTAGCCTGAGCGGAGGGTATGAATGCATTTAGTAAGAATATCTAACGTTATGGGTTGTCTGGTGTCCGGGCGGGTGGGCTGGGATCGTTGGATGCCTTTAATTAAGAGGGAGGTTTGAGAATTATTTATCTCCGGTGAGGGGGCGCCGTGAATCAATTTGTGAAAAAATTGGATGCTGCTTAAGTAACTTTTGATGGACCCGACTTGGAGGCTCTTAACGCTGTTAAGGATTTTTGCGGGTGGGTTATGGGAATATTAATTCCGAATAATGAGGTACTGGAGTTGGTAGCTTGTCTGCCTCTGGAGCCAGCATCCTGAATTTCTGAAACATAAAGCGAGACAGAGAGTCAGCAATTTGTTTTTTTGACCCGGGGATGTGTTTAGCAATTAAGATAAATTGATCACATGCTGAAATCCAGATTAGACGTCTTAGAAGTGGCATCAGTGCGGGTGAATGGGAACGGCCTTTATTAATGCACTGGACTGTAGCTTCATTGTCACAATGCACTACGATACTGCTAGCAGTCCATTCTTTCCCCCACAGGAAGGCTGCTACTATGAGAGGGTAGAGCTCGAATAATGCGGAGGACTGTAGCGTGTCCTGTATTTGGGGGGGCCACGTAGACGCGAACCAGCGTCCTTGGCAGAACCCCCCAAAGCCGACTGAGGGGGCTGCATCTGTGAACAGCTGGATGTCGATGGGGGAGGAAATTAGATCCTTATAGAAAAATGATAGGCCGTTCCACTGTTTAAGAAAAGTTATCCATAGCCTGAGTTCGTCGTGGCATGCTGGAGTTAGGGAAATGAGATCCTCTAGTGCGTGAACTGAAGACGCGAGAGAGAGGAGATGAGAAATGAAAGGGCGGCCTTGTGGAATAATGCGCATGGCGAAGTTTAAGTGGCCGAGCATGGATAGGAGTTCGCGTTTGGAACACTTTGAACTGTCTACGAGGGTAGATGAGATGAGGATTATTCTATCGATTTTTTCCTTGGGCAGGGAGGCCTGGTATTTAACTGAATCTAGCTTAATGCCAAGGAACTCGATGGATGTGGCGGGACCCATGGTTTTTTCCTGGGCGATGGGAATTCCGAGCTCGGCAAATACTCTTTGAACTGTGAGAATCTGGGCTGCTGGAATGGCGCCGGGAGGCGAAATTATTAGAAAATCGTCCAGCAGGTGAATGAGGTGAGGAATTGCGTAATTGTTTGACAAGATCCAGCAAATGGCTTCAGATAGCATGTCAAAAATTTTGGGGCTGCTTTTGCATCCAAAAGTTAAGCGTACGGCGAAATAGAATTTCCCATGCCAGCGCACTCCGAATAAGTGCCATGAATCCGGGTGGATGGGCATCACTTTAAAAGCCGAAGTGATGTCATTTTTTTGCGAGCCAGGCACCCCGACCCACAATTTTAATGAGGTCGACTGCGTGATCTACGTCGTGGTATTTGAGAGAAAATTCGTCGAGTGGGATCAGGCTGTTAATGCTTTGGAACAGGGATTTATGTGGAGCTGACAGATCGACTATGAGGCGTTTCTTACCTGAAAACTTTCTCGTAGCCACTCCAATGGGGCTAATGCGAAAAACTTTGAAAGGAGGCTCGTCAAAAGGGCCAATCATGAAGCCTGACTCGACTCGCCGATTGGAGATTATCGCAGATTATGTTTTGGGAGAGCGGACAAACCACTCCCGGTTTAAAACCGTGTTGTAGGCCAGACAGCAGATATTCAGTGAAGTCAGAGTCCGGGTGGTGAGCTAGTTCGATAGAAAGGCGAGAAATATTCACGGGAGTCGATAAATAATTTTTTGATTTTTTATTGACATCTTTAAAGACAGGGCATACAGGACGGGCATGAGCACCGCCACAGAAGCTGCATATGTGCAAGTACCGACAACGCTGCCTGCTGCACTTGCCGATATTAAAATTGTTGCAAGGCTGTTTGCTGTCCGTAAGTGCTCTGGAGCGGAAATTAGCCTCGTGTGGATATGGGTTGCTAGTCGCCGGTCTTGGTGTGTAGCTGGTGGATTTGACTGGTCCCGTTTCCGGGCATGGAGGAACGTAAAAGGGGTTTACTTGAGGGCACGATATTGTGGAATGTGCCACTGACCTGCAGACCGCGCAAGAAATATTCCTGCAGCCAAGGAAAACTCTGCTGTGCAGGTCAGTGTCTAGTGCTCCCCAGTATGGGCATTGGTTCCACTGTGAAACCCTAACAGCGCATTTTGCTGAGAAGAGTTTGTGATATGTGTAAAAGTGCCCTCCCCCGTAGGACAACGCGAGCTCGGCTATCAGCGCTAAATAGTCGTTCAGTTCGCGTCGCCTATGAGGGAAGGCTGAGCAAATGATTTCTGTGAAGTGGCTGAAAGCGATTGAAAACTCCGAAAAAGAAAGTAAACGTGATGAATGTGTATTCTGGTTTTTTAAAGTGACTGAAAAATCCCCGCAGTCTAACTGACGGTTAGAATCGGATACGGGAAGCAGAGAAAGTAAATGTGAAAGGTCTACATCCGCACCTGCCAGAATCTGTGCTCGGATGTTTTGAGTCACTGGGGGAGGCTCCAGAGCGACAGCGTTTGGTGGGACTGGCATCGGGGTAGCTGTGAAAAGAGAATATTGTGATTTGGCATTTAAGAGAGAGCTGTAAGGGAGAGAAGCCTGGGCTGCGACTATCGGCGGAGGCAGCCTCACGCTTAAGTCGGCCTGTGGGGCTTGAGAAGGAAAATTGAGAAAAGCATGAGGGGGAAAAGGAGGAAATAAATGAGATGCCTGAGCCTGTGTTGCAGGCGGAGGCGGTCTCGCACTTGCTTGAGCTGCAGGCCACTGAAAATGGGAGGGGTTAGCAGTAGTCGCGGGAAGGTGGTGGAAAGTTTGAGCCTGCACCGCTAGCGGAGGCAGCCTCACGCTAGCGTCTGCTATGGGAGCCGGAGGCCACTGCAGAGGAAAAGAGTTAGAAACAGCAGGAGGAAAACACTGGGAGGCAGAGGGTGACCCGGCGGGCCCAGCTGTGTATGGCACTGCGGCGGGAAGCGCCGTGCTGAAAAGCTCAGCTGAAGCGGGAGGCGAGTGAGGTCTCGTGGCGGTGGAATCTGGAGCGCGACCCAGGCTCGCAGAAATCCTGGCGCCGCGGGCTGAAGCGTGCGGCAAACCGAATCTTGCACGGGAAGGTGGCGGAGTCGGGCGAGGCGAATTCGGGGCCTCATTAGAATTTCCCGGCCTGCTGGCCGCCTTGGAACCTGGGGTGGATTTAGGAGAGAGATTTGATGATTGCAAGGTAACGTATAAGTTGTATAGTTGCGCTTTAGTCATCCTGCGCGAGGGCTGAATATCAGAGTTTATCAGCGCTTGTCTCAGACTCAAGACTGTCCACTTCCCAATAGGCGGAATCGTTGGTACGGCCGAACGATAGGAGGACGCCGGGGAGGAAGCTGGAGTCCTCGCCGGTGGAGGTGAGGGTAAACCTCGGCGTCTTGGCGTGCGAGGGGTTGCTTGCGCAGACCGGCGCCCGCGAGATGAAACGTGGGGCTCGGAGGCGGTATCAGGTGGAGAGGTTGTCCTGGGGCCAGCTGATGGCGGCGGAGGAACCGGAGCATGGTTAAGCTCGTCATCGGATGGTGAAAAACTGCATTTGGGACATCGTAGCAAAGCGGTAAACCAAATGCTGAAAACTGTCGAGGAATATGGGTGAGTCGACTGAGTATATTTATAGGCTTTACTCGTGCTGATTGAGTGGACCTGTTGATTACTGATTGCTGACAGCTGGCTGGAATGACTTGATTGTTTGATCATTAGAACGTGTTCCTCCCGAACCTTGTTAATAAAACATCAATTCTTTTGAATGTTACCTTTTGAATGTTACCTTTGAATGTTACTTTTTGAATGTTACTTTTGAATGTTACTTTTTGAATGTTACTTTTGAATGTTACTTTTGAATTTGACTTTGGAATGCTACTTTTGAATGTTACTTTGTAAATGTTACTTTTGAATGTTACTTTTTAAATGTTACTTTTGAATGTTACTTTTAAATGTTACTTTTTAAATGTTACTTTTGAATGTTACTTTTTAAATGTTACTTTTTAAATGTTACTTTTGAATGTTACTTTTTAAATGTTACTTTTGACTGTTACTTTTTAAATGTTACTTTTGAATGTTACTTTTTAAATGTTACTTTTGAATGTTACTTTTTAAATGTTACTTTTGAATGTTACTTTTAAATGTTACTTTTTAAATGTTACTTTTGAATGTTACTTTTTAAATGTTACTTTTGAATGTTACTTTTTAAATGTTACTTCTGAATGTTACTTTTTAAATGTTCTCTGAACTTTCCGAAACAAGGCCATTTTTTAATGTAATCACTCAATATGAGCACGTCAATCAGTTTAGATGCATGATAGTACAGATGCAACAAAAATAATTGCATTGCATTGACTTTTTACTGTGTGTGTGTGATTGTGCATATTCTGCTGCTGTTTGTGTCTCACCGTGAAGCGCCGCTGCCTCTCGGTGGAACCGCACAGCCTGCTGGTACTGACCCAGAGTGTTGTGGACGGCGCCCAGATTCTGCAGAACCACCGCCAGTCTGTGCGGTTTACATGCGACCAGAGGAAGAGCCTGCTCGTAACACTCGAACGCCTCAGAGAACAGCCTCATCTGAGAGAAACTCAAGCCCACGTCGTTCAGCAGCTTCCCTGCAACACAGGTGAGGATCACTTCATGCATTTCAACAGAATAATTCATCTGGAGTGTCAAGCTATTTTTGATATTTTTTTCTAAATGTCATAATCTTTTGTTAACAAACAAGTATTCATTACTTCAATGAGCTCATTGTGTCTGCATTAAATTATTACATTGTTTAAATAAATACATTTCTAGCTAACTGTGACTTTGTATATGTACATTTCTAAAATACATAACTTAGTTTCCTCTGATAACAGATCACTGTAAACTGTAATATGGACTGTAAACTGTAATATTAATTTTATAATTAATAAAATTATGTGTATTGTGAAAAGCGCTATACAAATAAACGTGAATTGAATTGAATCAAGTCATGTCACATTTATTGATATAAAAACAGGAAAATAACAGAATCAGTGATGCAAACTTCATCAATTATGAGACAAACTCTGACAGCTGAGACAGCTCTACAGAAGAAGAGAGAGTCATTATTCAGATCAAGTTCTGTTCTCATCTGATAGTGTCAGTGCATTTAGATCAATAATATCACTGAATATGAAGTGTCTTCTAAGTTGTTGGAAACATTAGTTACCCTATGATAAGCAATTACAAAACTGCTTTATTTTAAAGAAATGATCACTTCAACATTAAACACTTTAAATAATCACTTCAAGTCATTCACACTGAATTAAGTAAAATATATTAAACAAATGTATTAAATAAATCTGTGTATTTTAAGTCAGCTCAGCTTTATTTCTACAGCGCTTTATACAGTACAGATCGTTTCACAGCAGCTTCACAGTAATAAACAGGAGAATAACAGAATCAATGATGAAACTTCGTCAAATATGAGACAAACTTAGATTCAGGATTGAAGCAGCTCTACAGACGAAGAGAGAGTCATTATTCAAATCGAGTTCTGTTCTCATCTGATAGTGTCAGTGCAGTCAGATCAATAATATTACTAGATATGAAGTAGTCTCGCGTAGCCAGACCTTCAGACTGACGGCTGAAGGTCTGGAATTCATAGCAGCTTTCTTTGGCCAAGGCCCGCCCATAAGGCCGTTTGACCGACATGTCAAACAACCAATTACAGTTCGTTTCGTTCAGCGTCACGTTTCGGGGCGTGGAAATGTCCCCACAACAACAGACCGGCGTGCAACAAGTCAGTCAGCATAGAAAATCAAAGAAGGAGAAGAAAACTTCAAGAGTCTATGCCGTGAACCTCGCATACTTTTGAGAATCCTACGTTTAGCTGATCTTGATAAATGCTCATTGTCACTCATGTAAACACAACAGTTTTTCTTCCGCAATCACACGTCTGCGCTTTGTTTCCCGGCGGACCGAAAATAAACGTGACACTCGCGCACCCCGGAAATCCGATAAAATTCAACCAATCAGATGACGACTTCGACATTCCTGAAGTGTTTCCAGTTAAGTGTACTGTACGTATAGCCAGCGTTCCGTGGGCGTGACGTCTGAGGCTGAGACTAGATATGAAGTGTCTTCTAAGTTGTTGGAAACCATAGTTAACCTATGATTTTTTTCATGATATTTTGTGACTTTTGAGTCATGAACATGCATTCAAAGTTTCGACACGCTGATTTGTTGTAAAATATATAAAACATTTCTCATTTCTATAAACAAATCATGGTGTTTATGGGTCAATTTCAGTCACATATTTTCATGTTTAAATGCAGCTCCACTGAACCCCCCCCAAAAATGTTTTTGATGTATTTTATCATTCTGAGGGTATTATGCATTTGGCAGATGCTTTTATCCAAAGAATTTCATTCATTCATGTTAGTTTTCCTGTGAATCGAACCCATGATCTTGGAGAAGCTGAGATACCAGCTACTTAAAAATCAATTTCATATTTTATTTCATAAATGTGAACAATTAAAAATAGCAAACTTCAATTCATTTTAAAACAAAGAACATCTCACGGAGTTTGTGTGTGTCGTTCTGTAATTTCAAGCTCAAGTTTAGCAGTGAATCTAATGGAAAAACTGAACGATTTGGGGCCAATACATTGTAATTTAATGGCGCAGCAGAATTTGAAGCATTGTCTGAAGTCGTACACAGTCGTAAACTGCAAAATCTGATGTTCTTTCTTAGTTTTCCTGAATATCAATGCATAAATATTGTGGTTCATTTTCATGCAAAATAATGTCACAAGGCAAAAAATCATAAAGGTACTAAAAATAAGATTATTTTTCAAGTTACATAGAAATATTGTTTTGGTTTTTCTTTTAATTTGTAGTATACATCACTAATCGATCATACTGAAGCACACACACTACCCAGCGCCTCCTGGTCGGGGATGTTGGCGCTCATCTCCAGGCTGTCCGTCAGCACGCTGATGATGTCATCGGTGGCGTTGTGGCCGCTCTTCAGCATGAGTTTCCCAGCATCCTTCAGTGCCAGTGCAGACGCAGGCGTGTTCCCCGCTGTTCTGTAGCTCTCAGCGGCTCGCCGGAAACTCTCCGCGGCCTCGTCCCACTCCTGCAACACACACACACACACAGGATTGTTCTGCTATACTTTTGAGGACATTCCATAGGACTAACTGCACTATTTCACACACAATCTAGAGGACTAAATAAATGCAGGAACACAGGACCAAACACAATTCGATAAAATGATTGACTACAGGTGAACTTTAAAGGTTTTTTGTTTTACATAGTGTTTTACCTTCCTCTTCATGTGGCAGCGAGCGAGTCTGACGCAGGTTTCTCCCTCGGCGCCGGCGTCTCCCTGCGAGCGGTACAGTTGCGCGGCCTGATGATATCTGTGTGTGGCCTGCGTGTGCTCTCCTAGCGCCTCGTGAGCCGCGGCCCGGTTAAACTGCAGGTCAGCGATGCGCTCGCCTCGCTCTCCCGATCGGGACAGCACCTCGAGCCCCTTCTGAGGATCACCCGCCTCCACGAGTGCAGCGCCCAGGTTCAACACACACGTCCTCTGAAGACTCTTCTCTCTGAGCTGCAGGAGGAATCAGAGCATCAAACATATTTATTATGTTTCTCTGGCTGGTATGAGAGTATTTGGCTCTATATATATATAGAGCCAAACCAAAAATTATTCAGACACCAGATATCATTTTTGATATTGTTCTACTAGTGTGTGCAGGACACTATAGTTAATTTATGTAAGTGAGGAGAGCAAAATAAAGTAAACTGTGACATATTATACCCAAATATTCTTCATACAGTGTCTACCAGTAACATTTATAAAAAAAAATGGGAGCAATAATGATTCCTCCACTTTGAGCTGATCATGTTCTGCTGAAGTGTGTTTTCTGTAATTGCTAATGCTCTTTTTACACACACACTGAACAACATGAAGCATTGCTTGGTCACTGGTTGAGCTAAACTGGTATTATCTAATTGTGTAGTTAAATTTAACAGCTGACAGATATTCAACATAATTCATGTGTGAGAGTCTAACAGAAGGACGGACAAAACCAGTCAAATATCAACTGATATATTATTACTATTTTCTAAACTATAGCGAATAAACTGTGATAATGTGAGAAATGTTGAAGGTATCTGAATAAATTTTGGTTTGACATATTAGGTATCAATATAGGTATATTGACTGTATATCGGTATTGGCCGATATATGTTCATTTTTAATGTTATTGTTATCGGCCCGATAAGAAAATTCGTCTGATATATTAAAGCCGATGAATAATGTATTATCTCCTTCAGCTGAGACGCTTCAGATGCGCACTGTTCAACATGATGGTTTTGAATGGCTTGAAATATGATTGAAATCACTTTAAAAAGAAGGAAAATACAGTTCAGTGCAACAAGTGCGGCACAAATCTGTCATACAGGCTACATAAAAATATAATGAGAACATTATAATTGTGTGTTTGGGACATGGCTTTAATGGTGAGACTTTTGTTTTTGTAATCAGGCTCTCAAAAATTAAATACAAATTTGGATTTAGATTTATCGGCTAATATATCGGTTTTCGGCTTTCAAATATAAAGAATTATCAGTATCGGCCAACATTTTCATAATATTTCGTATTTCATATATATGTTTCAGTAACTAATGTCAATCACAGGTGCATGATTCATTTTTTCCACAAGATCAAACAAATTTGTGGTAAACCTAAACATTATAATAAAAATGATATAAAAATAATGCTAATGAATCGGAAGTCTCACTCATTCACAGAAAATAGTGTTGCAAAGCAATATGACAGATGGCTCATTAAAAGAATATGTACATTAATTGTGAAGTCACTTTTGGTTTCAGGTTGACTTGAGTTTGCATGATTTCAGTACCGTAGTGGCAGCTCTTAGCGCGCTCTTGAAGCGTCTCAGCGCAGCGGGATAGTCTCGGTTCTGCAGCGCTTCATGTCCATCCGCGGTCAGTCTCTCGATCTCCACCCGAGCTTCTGTTCCCAGCACATCCGATCTGCTCCTCCGGCTCCTCTTCTGCTTCTCACCAGCGTCTCTGACCGGAGACCCATCAGAGGCCATGAACTCACAGGAGATCACAGGTGCGGGAACACATGATGCTCAGCCTGAGACACAGAGAACGACGACTCAAGCTTTATATGACACAGAGTGTTTCAGAGCAGCTTTACAGAGATAACAGGACAATAATGCAACAGAGTTTGTTTCTAGAAGAGAATAGCGTCACAGTCCCGCTTAAGTAAGTTCAGTGATGCTTCATTTTGTTATAAAAAAGTTATTAATTTAGTTCATTTATATATATAGCCGCTCTGGAGAAAACCGTGATGTCATCGTCCAGCTCAATTTGAATTACTTCAAAGTGCAACACATGAAAACCATTATAATCTCAGTCAATTCGAGGTGTTTAAAAAAAAGGGAAAAAAAGAGATAAATGGCCACTGGTTACTGAAGTTGCTGCGTTAAACTCCTTTAGATGCAAACTATAAAGAATTGTGCAATAATTAGATGTATGACATATCTGGGAAAATATCTGGGCATTAATGTGTTCCTGAAGCAGCGACACGGTCATGGGTTCGATTCCCAAGGGATGCATGAACTGATAAAATGTCTAACTTGAATACAATACAAGTCACTTTGTATAAAAGCATCGGCTGAATGCATGAATGAGTTAATAAAAATGACTTTTACATGCTACTTTTATAATGAAATATATTTGACGTGATATTGAAGCTTTTTAAAGTAAAGTAAATTGTACCCAGGACTGAGTTCAAAGTATTTAGGTTAAGAACCCAGACGGCAACCTAGTGTCGGCCCACGTACGCCTTGAGTCCACGTGTACCAGATGTGGGCCGGATCCGGGCCACATGTTGCCGTCTGGGGAAAATAAATCATCAGATATTCCAGCTATAACAGGGAACGTACTCAGAAAAGTTTTGTCAAGGTTCTCCCAAAGTTATGAACAAACGTTCTTCCAGTAACATTAATAGAACGTTCCTTCAAAGCTATCTGGTATTTATTAATCTTCCCAAAACATTATTTACCCAGCAAACACAGAACGTTCAAACATTAGTATTTGGTTCCTGTTAGTTTTTTTAGTTCTAGGAAAGTTTTTTTTTAGGTTTTATTTTTTGCAACCATAAAATTATTATTTCTTAAAGAGCCTAAAAATAATTATTAGGCTATATGCTGTATTTTACTGCTCAACAAACCCTTCAAAACTTTGCAAATGTTTTTGTGTAATGATACAGAGCTCTGAAATTAGTTTATTTAATACAATGTAGAAATTATCAAAATGCGTTATAATGATCAGATATATCTGATCATTATAACGCATTTTGATCAAATATATATCTGACCATTATAACGCATTTTGATTGATATAATTTCTACATTGTATTTCTACATCCATATATGCAACTTTATAGATTAAAAAAATATTAAGCCAGGGTTAAGCATAAATTATCTTCATATCCCGCGAACTCGAGTAGGCCCTAATTTAAATATTTACGTTCATGTTGTTATTTCGGTTAAGAAAACTTTCCTGGCTAACCAAAAACTAACCTTAAAAAAGAACGTTTTGGGAATGAAAAATTGTTAGTATAGCATCACAACGTTTTAGATAGACATTCACGTTTTTTCTAATTGTTTCAGAACATTCAAAACGTAACGTTGCCTTAATGTTTGCAAAATGATAAAATAGAATTTTTGCATAACCAAGAAATTTTTTTCAGAGAACGTTCATAAAATAACATTTACATAATAGCAACATTAGCGAAACCTTCTTGGAACAAATGTTGTTCTTCCTGAGCAGTTTTAAAGTGTGTGTTAATGACAGAGAGGATTAATTCACACTAATGAATCATTCATCAGTCTTCTAGAGTGTCACTATAAACACACAGTTACCACAGCAAACTAAACCCTCATTACACACACAGTGACACCGAACATAAAGAATAAGCGCCATAAAACTTGAGTAAACAATATAATATACTGAATAACACTAGAACAGAGGTTCTCCACACTCATTTCTCTGAAAGAAACGTACTTACACGGATAAACCCAGTCAGAGCGGCCCTTTCCTCGGGGGATACGCGTCATGTTTGATGGTCCGATATCTGTCCTTTAAAATCATGTCGTAATATTGGAGCTGATGGTGTATAAACAGGTGAGCAGACAGACAGGTGTCTCTCTCCGTGTGTGCACACCTGACCACACTGTTTACACCCGTGTCTATGGAAACGGCAGTGGTGTGGTTTCACCTGACCATCAACATTCACCTAAAATTATAATATTTTAAAAACTTTTCTCTTATCCTATAAATATGTGATATGGGTTATTGCATTAAGGACCATTGCTCAAAGGATGCTGGTATTATTATACATTTGATTTTATTTTTATGTAAATTTCATATTCACAAATGTAAATTCACAAATGGCAAACCGAATTATACAGTGCTTAAGAAAGAGATTAAAATGTGCATTGATGTGATGTCAAAATCTAAAAGTAACAAAGCAACTGCAATGTGCTCTTCATTTAACGTTTTCATATGAAAAGTATCTATTTATGCTTATTCAACAATGCACCCTCTCTGTTCTTTTCTTTTCTTTTTTGGTCCCTTTTCTTTCTTTTTTGTACTTTCTATTGTATTGTTAAGCCTGTGATGTGTTCTTCTGATGTAATATAAAAGTTACCCGTGTTGGAAATAAAGCATTTTTTTTTATATAAAATATGTTTTATCTTCAAAGAATCTCCAGAAAAGAAAATCTCTGTCACACCAAAAAATAAATACATAAATAAGTACAATAATAAAAAAATCGTCTTGTGAAACAAATAAATACAGACTCGCTGGTTTGCTGTTTGAAAACTCGTTTACACTACAGTACCCATAACACACCGCGACACACCCCGCCGTCATCAAGTGCGGGAGCCAATGAGAAGCACAATCTAGACAAGACATTGTTGTAGAAATTGTCCAAATGGCTAGTACATTAATTAAAACTGGAGTCAATGTTGGACTTGTATGGGTTCCTGCCCACAAAGGAGTAATAGGGAATGAGTTGGCTGATAAGTATGCAAAAAAGGCAACAGAAATGGAGTATATAAGTTTAAGCATTAAGTATAGTAAAGAAGAGGTGAAATCAATCATTAAAAGGAAGATAAAGGAGAAGTGGCAAGTGTTGTGGGATAATGGTCAGACTGGTAGGAGACTATATAATATCCAAAAAAGAGTGGGGGTGAGTAGAAGTACTTGCAGAAATACACAGGAGGAGAACATCATTTCAAGAATGAGACTTGGGCATACAGGCTTAAACAGTACATTATTTTTAATGGAAAAACATGCTGATGGGAGGTGTAGTGTATGTAACACACAGGATACCATAGAACATGCTATTGAAGAATGTACTAGATATAGTAATGAGAGACAACAGTTAATCCAGCAGCTAGAAGATGAAGAGATACCTTTGAAAGTAAGAGATATTTTGCTAAGGAATTCGGGAGATTTTTGTTTTGGGGTTTTATTTTCCTTTTTTAGAAGAACAGGTTTAATAAAGATAATTTAAGTGTAGGGAAATAATTTATCCAGACCTACACTCCATTTCAGAAGGTGGCGGTAATGCAACCAGACGTTATTTGCCAACCGCCATAAAAACAAGAAGAAGAAGAAGAAGAAGAAGAAGAGAAGCGGGCGGGATATTCAAACCGTAAACAACCGACAGACGGGAGCTTTCGCGTTTTCTGTTCAGTCGACATTTGTCTGAGTTATTAATCAGAGCCGAATGGGAGTTTAATCCCAGTTATCGATATAGATGTATTAAACATCTTTTGAACGCACCTGACTGAAAGCGTCACTAATTCGCGGCTTCAGACTGAAGGAGTTTGATAAGAAGAGAATCGCGTCGCTTGTCAGAGATCAGCGCGTGCGTTTGTGTCGGTTTATCAGAACGCGATCGATCAGATCCAGTTAATCGATATCGGCAGAAGAACAGAGATGGGGGAGAGTGTTCAGGCCCGGTCCGGCTGTAAGTACTGAAATAAAACACATTCATGTCGATATAAACTTCAAACGGTTCACGTCAGTCTAACAAACCGGAATCACGGAAGAGTGATTGTGTTTATATGTGACTTCATGCTGAGTGTTATTGAGGTTTATGTTGAATGATATTGAGGTTTATGTTGAATGATATTGAGGTTTATGTTGAATGATATTGAGGTTTATGTTGAATGATATTGATATTGGGGATTATGTTGAACGTTATTGAGGAATATGTTGAATGATAATGAGGTTTATGTTGATTATGATTGAGGATTTATGTTAAATGTGAGTGAAATTGAATGTTGCTGTTAAATGTGATTGAGGTTTTGTGTTTAAAATGATCTAGATTTTATATTGATGTCAATAGATATGACTGAGGTTTAATGTTAGATATGACTGAGGTTTATGTTAAATATGATTTGTGATTTTATTTGAATAGTTTAATGTGATTGAGGATTTATGTTAAATGCGAGTAAAATTTAATGTTGCTGTTGCATGTGATTGAGATTGTGTGTTTAACGTGATCTATGTTTTATGTTGATGATGTTGATTTCAGATGAGCGTCTGACCGCAGAAGAGATGGATGAGCAGAGGATTCAGAATGTGGCATATCAATACCTGTGCCGCCTGGAGGAGGCCAAGAGGTGCGTTTCTACTATTTATTTAAGTCCACTTAAAATAAATGATTTACAGGGACATAAATATAGATGCAGTCAAGTACATGTACATAATCATGGACCAGTGGCATACAGCAGATCTTCACAGTATTAAGCGTCACTCAGTTGTTATGGGTACAAGTAACACCGTCTCCGCCAGATATGACGGCTGACACACACACACACACACTGATGCTGCGTCTCAGTTCGCCTACTTGTACTACGCCCTAAAAGTGTTTACTCTTTTTGTGAAGAAAAAGTAAATACTTTTGAGTGTGTAGCAGAAGAGTAGACGAGCTTTGGGACACTATCACGTCATACAATTGCATCTTTAAACTGACCTGTCAATCATCTTGTCAAAGATAAAATCATCCACTTTTGATTTCATTTAATTTCCTACTGTATCGGACAGAAATGGAGAAGCTCGATGATCTGCAGTCGCGGGTCTTTCATGTTAAGACTCTCCTCATATTAATGCAGAATGATGCATATAAAAGTTAATGGCCAAACGAATCTTTATTAAAGTCCACATTGTTATTACAGATGAAATATAACACGAATAACATTAAATAAATATTTTTTTATCAGGTTAAACTTTGATTAGTCACTCAATTGCCGTAATCTAAACCTCTCACCGTCGGTCGAGCATATTCGCCATGTTTGTAGTTTTTTTTTAACACTTTCTACTAATTTGTAGTTCCTCCTCCAAAGCGCAGTGGATTGTGGGTAATATTAGCCGTTATAATGAGCACGGATCCACACTTCCAAAATCCACCGGAAATAGTAGATCATCCGAGGACTTCTGGCAGACTCTCTTCAACATACTATACTTTGAATTGGGACACACTTATTTTAATCTCACACACTGTTTAGGATGGATAGTGTGAACATTTAGAGACGCAGGGTAACTCGCTCACACACACACACTCACACGCATACACTCTGACACACACACACTCGCTCACACACACACACACACTCACTCACACACACACACACCCTCACATACACTCTGACACACACACACACACACACACTTTCAACAATTTTAAAAATCTTTCTTGATCTCGATACTTCCAAAGACATTTCATTCACTGCCATTATAAGCTTGGAAGAGCCAGGACATGTTTGATATAACTCTGATTGTGTTCGTCTGACAGAAGAGTGTCATATACACTGGGATGAGTTGAGGGAGAGTAGATCATGGGCTAATGTTCATCTTCGGGTGAACTATCCCTTTAGACTGCAGATGTGTGTGTGTGTGTGTCAGGTGGATGGAGGCGTGTCTGACGGAGTTGCTGCCGTCTCCCACTGAGCTGGAGGAGGCGCTGAGGAACGGGGTTTATCTGGCTAAACTGGGACACTGCTTCGCTCCCAGTGTGGTTCCACTGAAGAAGATCTACGACCTGGACCAGGAGCGATACAAGGTGAGCGATCAACGACCACACACGCGCCATCGCCGCCAGTGGATTTCAAAGGAATATGTACTAGTGCCAGAAATCACAGGACCGTTTTTGAAATGCCATTGTTTACGTGTTTAAAGTGTCTAACTTTTCTTTTTTTATTAATCATTACTTGAATAAAACATAATAAAATATAGAGACAATGTTATATAGATTAATTTTAAAATTAAATGAAATTATATTAATAAGGTCCACTCCAGCTCTCCGACGCACAGTGTACATCACCCCTTGCAGATGTAGTGCACTCAAATGCCGTACACTATATAGGGATTAGTGAGGAGTGAACGAGTGAGGGGTTTCGGACACAGTTATTGTCTCCTAAAAGAAAGAAGTCTTTCTGAACTGCCTGAAATGAGTCGTCAGTAATTCAGTCTCACTTCCTGCTGAACCTGTGTAGGTTTGTAACTTATTTGCATAATGCCATCCTCTTGTCTTGATTGGCTGAACAGCATCTCTTAGCCCCGCCCTCAAACACTGTAGTGTATCTGAGACTGGAAGATTTCGGTTCGTGTTGTTTGTGTGGAGGAGACGCTGTTTTCTGAGATTGATACGGTGAAACCCACGCCATTGTCACTGTTCGTATCACCGTGATCAAGAGCTGAGAGTCAGATATGCTAATGAGTGTTTGATGTCTGACCAATCAGAGCAGAGCAGCTCTCAGAGAGGCGGAGCTTAGAGAGACTGAATCCTTGATCTAAGGAAAGAGCTGACGCTGCAGTGGAGATTATGAGGACATTACAGTGTTTTTGATCTTGGATGCATGAGAATCTGTTGTAGGAGACTCCAAAACAACATTAGCAACCTTTAAAACAGCAGAATAGGGTGAATCTCTGATGTTTTCTGCTCAGGCCAGCGGGCTTCAGTTCCGTCACACTGACAACATCAACCACTGGAGGAACGCCATGATGGAGGTCGGGTTGCCAACGGTAAATCACACTCGTGTTTCAGCCCATAATTCGACAGGATCTCAAACAAGAACTGTTGTGAATATTTCATATTACTGAAGATGATGTTGTATATCCTGCAGAGGTTT